TATGTTCATCACTATCATCGTAGACGTGCACACGTGTTAAATGGGCGTTGATTTCATTATCACTTAAGGCTAACGAAGCTTGAATAGTAGAGTCATCAAAATATCCATGTGTAGATCTCCAGATACAGCTGCAAAATCGTGAACGGACTTTTAGAAGAGTACAGACTGATAATTTAGGATTCCACATGTAATTATGTCTAAGAAGTATGCCGAAATGGATATATGAGCAAACGACTTATAGAAGTATACAAATTATTTAAGCATCTGTAAATTGACTGATAGGTAAACAGGATGATTGATAGACGAACTGGTAAAGAGCACGATGGCACAGAGGTAAAGAGGTCACAGTCCAATTCTGGTGGTTTCGTGTTCAAATTCTGAAAAGATAAAATTTGTTAGAGCTGCTAGTTCAGTGAGCAAGGAATTTACCTTAAATGGCTTCGGTGCATCCGACCGAAACTGGTAACAAGTGGCTGAGTTGCGAACAACATTGGCAGCAGATTGTTCCAGTCGTTTCTCAGGAACTACTATGGAACAGTCGTTTCTCAAGCTCCAGGAGCTAGGGATTGATTATATCGTGATAGAAATGTGAAAGTTTCACAAATATGTTTTATAAATTCAATACAGTCTCTACGTCAATATCGTTCATAATATCCTCATGATTATCCTAAATATGTGCATACTAACATAGTTGCATTTGTTAAATTTTAAATTTTTCATAATAATTTTTAAAATATTACATATTTGTTAAACATGAAAGGTAAAGAATCGGTTATCATTGAAACAACCAAAAGACCGGTGCTAAATTCTTTTGTGAACGTTTATTGTCAGTGTTTGGGCTGTACAACTTTGACCGTCTTCCGGATAAACCCTGTCTGATGATGGCCATTATCATTTGGCCGAAACCTTGGTGGTGAAAGTTAATTTAAGAAACTTATATTGTCCTCCTAATTTTATGTGCAACCATTAAATCTTTACCACTTATCCAAAGTAAAAGGCACAGAATCAAAGTGAATTTTGGCAGTATGTTCTGTTTAATAAATATATGTTATTTAGTGCTGGTCAGCCTGCACAAAACAGTGGGAAACTAAAGACATATGCATCAGTAGCTGTGAAAGTCAAGAGGTGATTATAGAAATTTTGCTTGAAATAAACACTTGATATTATTTGCACTTAATTTAGAAATTTTCGTCTTGTAGCCAAGTTTGTGACATCATTTTTTCAGAAATTCTTTCAGGTAAGCTCAGATAAATGAACATTCATATTTCATTCTTCATAGTTAAAAAATTTTTTGTTTCAGACGACTCTGACTGTCGATGCGACGTACAAGTGCACGACGTCAAGCTGGTATGCATGAATCTTCAAGGTAGCATCGAGGTGCCGTTCGTTGTGGCATTTATCGTCATCAACGCTTCCTCACAACCGAACCTGTATCCTTCGGTGTACCTGGTACAGTCAAGGTATCGAAACAGAAACGCACTGACTCACAAGGTGCAAGTCAGCGAGTGGATTACCGTTGGATCTGTGAGTATATATCTTGATTTACTAACAGCTTATCCAAAGTAGTCGAAGAAATATATGCAGCAGAAAAGTGCAGATTTGAGCCGTATTTTTTTGATGTTCAGGTTTAGAAAAAATATCTCACCGTTTAGTTTAACTCACAGATGTGCTCCGTTGTATTCTCCCTTTTAAATAAAAGCTAAGATTTACTCGCACTACTTTCGTGCTTCATCAACTGGCAATTTAAGAGACTGCGGAGAGTGGATGTTCAATAAGGCGAGAGTCACAACGTTGGGGGGGGTGAAATTCACTGTTTTTATCTTAGACTTTAGCTGAATATCCACTGTGTAGTTGTTGACACAACTTGAATAAAATGGTGCAGATCTTTCTCATGCATAAAAGGCCAGAGCCAGACGACTTAAAATGTTAAGGACGCTTGCTTTTGCAACTCAAGTGATATCAGTGAACATTTCTATGATTGTGTCCGGCAATTTTGTTTGTACCACCGCTTACGCAGGTCCTTGAAAATGAGTGTCCGGTGAAGGGAAAATCAAAAATATATTGGGTACTGTTCCTAAGTCACTTAATGTCCAGAGATTCTTACATCGACGGATTTCTTCGCTTTTTCGTTCAGATAGAATTTCGATACAGTAGTCTTGCTGGCGTTTGGCCGTAGCTTCCACAGAAATAATCCTGCGTGATGGCGAGATAAGAGTTCAGAGTTTCCTTGTTGTTATGAAAACCGTGGGTTTGCGTTAAAAGCGCGAAATCATCATCTTAGGCAAATTTGCGGGATGCTGTTCTATGCATACCGCGTATCCACTGGTTTATCAAAGTTGGTGCAAGGACCTTTCCTTTTCTGAAAGTTCGTGGGATACTGAGCTGGTTACCGAGGAGGACATGTGAACGCTTGTACAGTATTACTGTAGTCATCTTCAGCATGTTGGCTTACATTGAACGGCAAGATCTGAGGTTTTGCAAGTCTGTATTAAATGAAGATCTCCATGTCATCACTCTGGCATATTCTGGTCAATTAATCAGTGCAAACTCTTTCCATGCATAGACCTTGGCGAATCTCGAATCTACTGTCGCTATTTTCATTTAGGTTAGGACATGCACGGATAATAATATTAGATTTTACTATAAATTAGTTTAAACGAATCATTATGTTAATTTTTAATTAATTATTAAATTGTTAATAATTATAAATTAATTATTAACTTTTCACGCAGAGATTTCAACGACTCTTCAGTCTGCAACGTTTGTTGCCATCCACTGAATATCAAATCAGGGTGATTGCAGTACTAGCTAA